TAAAAATTGCAGCGGCGTAGGCCTTCTCTGAGGCGTCACAAAACCCGTGCAGTGAACTGGTTATTGATTCAACCAACAAAAATCGTGAAATTTGATACTTTTAAAAGAATAATATCTTCTGTAAGTTGTTCCACTCACATTCAATATTGGGAACCTTTTCATCCCACTGAACTATGTTTCCACAATCTGCATAATCAATGATACCGAAAGTGATCGGTGCCAACCATAAAGAGGGTCAAAAGTCTTTGCGATTATTGAAAGTAATGTTGTTTGGTTAAGACTTCAGGATATGATGAATTGACTTTGAATAAACATATCTGAAGCTGGATGCCACAGGATACCTAAGTTTTTACAGTATCATCATTGTCTATGTTCAAGAAACATTGATAAGCACAATCTGGATAATTGAATTCAAGACTTCTTGCTGTAGAAGCCCATTTCTAGAAAATCCTGACGTGACAACATTGATTCATTGAATTTGTAATTTATAGCTTCAGAACTGACTGGCTCCGGACATCAAATCATCAACGTAAAGTCCCTAAGGCATGTCTTGGAAGCCAAGGAAAATTGTTGTTTCATCTATGGCTAACTGCCTAACATCTTACCGCAAGGTTGGAGCTGTGCAGTACTAAGCAATAATGAAAATCTGAATTGATAAAGTGAATTGCGCCAGACAATTCTCTGAAAGTCTGCATCTTAGTATAATTTATCTGTACATTTTTCTATATCTGCGTTATAGCTATTCTGTGAATTTGAAATGAATTAATGTCAATATCTGCAACTGTTGACCACTGTCGATTTCTCATTAAGAGAAATGCCAAAGAAGATTTTGCAGAACCAAAATACGACTCGAATTTATCACCAATTTTATCCGGACTGAAGGTTCGAAGGTAAAACTAAATAGCTGGAACATCAATTTCATTTCTGGAATCAAACTCCATATGACAGTTGTTGATAGTCCTCATAAATTCATGATATTGACTGGAAAGAGATTTATTCTTAAAATGATGTTGAATTTGTAAAGAGTACAGCAACATCCCTTGATACCCAAGTTCATTGCCATATTACGAAATGGAAAATAACAACAATCTACCTGTTGAATCATGAGAAAAATTCTGCTTGAAATGATTTTGACTCAATTTCTTCTTCTGTGCAATGCTTTAAACTGAAAATTGCGTTTTTATGGGATATGTATTGTATTGAACTGAACCTGACACGTTCCAATTTTGCGAGCTCAGGCCATTTTTGTTGCACTAGGCTTTTAGCTGCGTAAGTACACGTGCTCCCGGTAAAGAGCCTGGCTACCCTGAATCAATAGAACCTGCTTTTTGTAATCGCCATTAATATCTTTAACATAAACAACCGCAGTAGGCAATAAAACTGCTTGCGTGACAGGCACCGTGGCATTATTGCTACTAATAGCAGAAGTTCCATGTTCCATGGTTATATGACATTTTTCATCATTTGAATTTTTCGAACATAACACTGTATTATATGGCTTCGAACAATATTTACACATGCCTGCACGATATTTAAAAATGGGATGTGTTTTACTATCTTTCAAACAATTAGCACATAATTTATTCCCTTTAATAATATCCCATTTTTCTTTGATGGGGAGTTCTAAAAAGCTATCACATTTAAATAACTGAGAACGAGAATTACTCTTACAATGAACGCACACATTAGCCACAAGTTGGGACGAAAAAGCGTATCTGCTACCTGAACCGCGAGTTTTAATTTCAGAAGGCAAAATTACCTTTCTTCTGCACTCGCCAAAGAGGCAATAGCTTCGCCTGTGTAATAAAACACTGAATTCGCGAACGCAAAAATTTTCTTGTTCGAATGCTCTCGCCACTCTTTGTGTTTGATCAAGTTCCTTTAACAGAAAAATAACATAGATCCCAAGCTCTACCGGCGTTAAGGATTTTTAATGATCAGTACACTGCTGTTGATCAATCATCTCTGCACCTGAAGCTGATTATGTTTTAGAACAGGTTGTGAAGTAATTGATTAATGCTGCGTTTATTATTTCATTCGTTTTCATAATGTTCAGTAGCACTTCCATGCCTTTTTAATTCGCGTTGAAAATTGAATGATGTAGTAAAGCAGCAGCTTCACCTTCCCAGAAAGCTAAGATATTGCAATTTGACTATCATTATACTATTTCTAACACTGGCAAAATAAATCCCTAAAGATACCCATCAACATAATAGAAGTAAAACAAGGCAATTCCAAGCAAGAATTTTTTTGTTTGCATTATTTATTATATCTTTGCCTGAATTTTTACTTTTCTTCCTTAAAGTAATTTTAAGCATCCATTTGGAAAATAGTTAATTCATTTATTTCATATTACTAACTCTGCGTCAGAACAAGTACCAGAATGTTAGTGTTAAACGTTACTCAATACTAATGCACCACCTTTTTGTAACTTCAATGTCAGAAAAAATTTTCTTGATTTGTAAACAATTACTTGTGAAATTACACGAGTCACTTACCCTTAATGATTCGTTTTTGCTTTAAAAAAGACTCCATATTCCTGCGCTGTTTTCACATCCGACAAAATTAAATCCATTTTTTTGCACGAAATGTCCTTCAATCCCAGAACTTTAAAAATTGTCTTGACACCTATCCAAGCCTGCGCTGGCTCACGACAGACCATGTTAGCGGATGGAAAGTACACACAAACGTTCGTTATTGCGTTTATTAGACTGTGTGAAGAACAAGTTCATACAATAGATATACAGGTAGTTCGGCACTCGCAGGCGCTCTCTTGCAGAGAACAAAATCAAATTTTACATAAGGCGCGAACACAGACTCCTTTTACCCCCAAATCTGCCCGACTCCATGACTCTGCTCCATAGCCCTGGTAGTTACAGTCACTTTACTATGAACCACAAGCACAATTTTGCAGATCCAACTATGGGTGTTCACACCCAACATGTGGAAAGAATGTGGGGTTTAGCCAAGGGGTGTAATAAAAAAAGGGATGCGGCTCAACATCGTTTGGAATTAATTTATGAGAAGTATATATGAAAAAAAATGATGTTTTTGATGAACTGTTGAAAACAATTTTGGAAACATGGCCCTGCATAATTAATACTAACAAGGTTCTTAGGAAACAACATGTGAGTATCGTTGCACATTGTGTCGCTTATTTTTATCTTCTCACTTCACGAGCTGGCAAGATACTTCGGTTGATTAGCAATTCAATCTTGGGGCCATTATAATACGGAAGGTACAATTTAAAAAAAAATTAAGAGGTTATTGACGGTCCAGATTTTAGATAATCAAGGATATTGGGAGTCCAGGTTTCGGACTTTATACTTCATTATTCAAGTCAATGTGACACTGAAGATTTGGCCAAATAAACACAAGACAAATTATTCATTAGAAATCAAAGGCAATTAATTGAAGGGTTTAAATTATGATTACTTCTGATTATTTGCACCCAAATGAAATACCTGAAAGGCAGCAACCACTCTGAAAATCGTGGCACATTAAAAATTTCATAACAGAGCAACAAGTCAATAAAATTAAAAAAGTACAGATAAACAGTTAAGCATTAAAATTGTGAGAATTTAAAAAATGTTCTATTTAATTTAGTTGTATATATATATATATAACAGCAAATGATGAAACTTACCACATACAAATTTAATTCTGATAGTGCACAAGAACAGGAAATATGTTTTTATATCAAACCTTTGATAAATCACTAATAGCATGAACTATTAAAGTAAAACCACTGAAATAAATTCTATACAAATTCAATAAAGTTTAAAATTACAAAAATGGCATAGTAGTAAATAAATGCATAGTTAATTTCAAATGTGATTTCGATAAATTAATACCACTTAGATTATAAAATGAAACTTTTACTAGCTGAGAATTCATTTTGTAATCAAATTACAAAGTAATCAGCATGAATAAATTAAATCTTTGAAATCCTGATCTCATATTCTTCAGAATGTAATAATACCCCATTTAGATAATATTTTTAGCATTTCTGTTTTCTGCACCCCAACCAGGCTGCAGAAAAGTACTGAGGCAACCCCAAATGTCACCAAAAACATTTACATGCAACTCAGATACATGTGTCACATCTTCCTAGAGGGCTTTCGACTTCTCCAGACATTTTCACCAGTGATTGCAGATTTATGATCCCTCTTATCAGAATTTCAGCATTTTCGCACACTGCATACAGCAATTTTCCTCGCCTTTGGAAAAATCTCCGACTAACCTTTTTGTACAGACAGAAAGGATAATGCGACTTGCTTAAAGGTATCATTGCATCTCCATTTTCTTCGCATTTTAGGATTTTCGCATTGAAGTTGGGCAGTTCTTTGATGTTTTCTTTAGCACTAATCAATCACTCTATACATGTTGAGAACAATAGTGCAAAACATTTCTTGCATGGAAAAAGAATGTAAAAAAAAAAAAAAAAAAAAAGATGATACTGGATGCATCACTGAAATACAGGTTGAGTTTCTCTCTGAAATCACTAATGAATCTGTGTTCGGTGGGTATGAGAATAAAGAGAAAGTATTATATCCCCCCAAAAGGTCTATTTTCTTTTCTTAAACAAAAAATTAAACAGGCTTGAGTTTAAATAAGTATAAAACATACACAAGTCAAATACACAATATATGTTAAGATACATTTAACATACAGTGAAGTTATGGTATTTCTTTAAATAATTAGAATTTTAAGTTTTACTAAATTTCATACAAACATAAATTCTTTTACAAAAGAATATATTTCATAGCTTCAAGCTTAACTTCCAAAATTCAATGACTTACGTAAAGCAAACAATTCAAATAATTTTCAATTTACTTAAAATTAAAAGCTATTTCATCCCTCACAAATGCATTCGACCTGTTACGACCTTTAAGTGCAAACACTATAGTAAATACCTTCTACTGACTTCCTTCCCATAAGTGCTACGTCTCAAATGTTATAATAGGAAAAATATTTCAATACAATAAAGATGTTATACTTTAGGGTCGTGAAACATTGTTGCTGTATGATCTAGTTAGCAAATATATAAAAAATGAGTACGACTTGAAACAAATAATTATAATACTATAATCAGTAAAAAATAAAATCTGCAAACCTCCATGACAACAGAATATTTTTTCATCAACAATTGCTGCAACAGGCAAACAATTAAAACAGTCTGTAAAAGTCTTCCACAGTTTAATGTTGTACCTTCTTTTGCCTAAGCCAAGAAAATAATAAAATTTTTAAAGTAAATAAAATATCAGAACATCTTATTTTAAAATGGGATTTCTAAAATAGACAATAAAATAAGTAAAAATCTGAAAGCTTTCAGATTTACACCTCAAAGGGATTTTTTTTTTTTTTTTTTGTGTTATTTTTATTTGTTAAACATCATATTCTTCACACTTAAACCACATAAAATTCAATTCAACAGCAATATCACAAAATATTTAAAAACAGCATATCTTTAGAATTTCTGATACAGTCTTGTGCAGAGTAAAAATGTTTTTTTCTGTACCATGTCGCCACTGCTCGTTTTGAAATCGTTAAGTTCATTAATAAAAAATTTGTTAAAGATTTACAAAATTTGAAACAGATAATAAAACAAATTCAAAATTTGGGCTTCCAAGTGCCCATATTCGGTAAGGGGACTACAATATTCAAAATTTGATGGCTCTAGGTACCGTTGCTTTTTCACAATGTGAGAAACATTCATGCCAATTCTTCATCATTTAGTTTCTTTAAATATAATACATGGCCATAATATTTGGTGACAAAAGTTTGAAAACTGAACCAATGCAAAAAACGAAATGACGCAAAATGCAGTTTTGAGATTAATAGCAAATAAGTATAATCGGACCAATAAAAAGAGATACAAAAGTAAAGGAAAAAAAAAACGTGCACAAAATCAATAAAAGAAAAACCACATTAAAATCAAAATTGGTACAAAAATGTGTAATCTAATTAAAAGATGCTATGTATCCTCTCTATATCAAGTGATCAGTCAATTCATAATTTTTCTTCATATGTTTGCAAAATTTTTTTCTGCAATATGCAGTGACAGATTTTACATCTAAAAATCTCAGAACAATGGTAGAGGGGATAGATAATGAAGCAAAGGAACTACACAAATAATTATGATCATAACATAAAATCAGGTATTTTCCAATAAGATTTTAAAACACAGTTCATTCTGAAAAATTTTGGCACTATCATATTTTATTATGATTTATTTAATATTGCACCAATTTTAATAGACAAAAAAAACTCTCTTTTCATAACTTTTACTGAACATAAAAATGAGAATCTATGTGGAATATGCATTTAAGAATAAAAATATATTTGAAATTATTAAGTATTGTTCGTTAAATTTATGCTGACTGATTGATGAGCCATAATTATTCCTGTTTGTTAAATGCAATTTTACTTTATGAAAAATTTCTGTCCAGTAATAAAAGATCAGTTACTATAAGAATGATTAAATAAATGTATTGTAGTTCTCTTAACTACAAAAGTTCACTGTAAATACAATAAATCATTCAATTAACCACACAAATGTCATTATACTATTATTCATATTTTGGTACAACTCTGATATACACCCTAATTTCACCAAATGTGGCGATATGTGTTCTGCGCTGGTTTTTGGTGCGATTACGTGTTGTATGGCAACCCTGTTGACATTGAAAAATCTTTGCTGGTTCGTTGTTTGCGTCATGCTTTGGTCTGATAAGCTAGGGAGGAAAGATAAAGGTGGAATGTGAATTGAGTTCGGCAAAAGAAATATAGTTGTGGCCATCCTGTTAGGGAAGTGGGTATTGGAGTGTGGAAAGAGGGTTTGGGAGGATTTTAGTGCTGTGCAGATAAAAGTAGGATTGGGAGTATTTGTTATTTATTTATTTGTGAACCATAGTATGAATTTTGGATAGTGTGTCTGGCTGTCATATAAACGATAGTAATTACATGGCGGAGTTAAAGGCGTATGAAATTGGTATTTCTGCTGTTCGAAAAAGCATAATTCATGGTAAGGCATTTTTTTTTATTCTTGTTCTTATTTTGTAGAATGTTATATTCATTGTTTTTTAGTATGAATTTCTGTTATTGTTTTTTTTTAATTGTTTGAAATTTAATTACTACAGAACGTAGAGTCACATTCCACTCTGAGATGAATCGACGAAGAACAGGGAGACTATCAAGAATTAACCGTATGCAAATTTGCACTAAAAAAAAAAGCATTTTGCTCTTAGTTGGTACCGGAGAAAGCCAATCAGAGCAAACGGTGTCCTTGAAAATGGTACTGCAAAAATCTTTGTTGCTGCAGACAAAATTAATGTGACACCAGGAATCTTTGAGAGGGTGCTCCAGTCGTTCCTTCGCCAATGTGAACTGTTCAACGACACACATGGTTGGCATTTTTAGCACTTTCTACAAGTTTTTCACTAAACAATAAATCTGATTGTGCAACTTTTGGTCTCATTCATTCACTTTCCCAACACTGTTGTAAGTTCAGGATGTAATTCTAATATTCCTCTTTTCTGCCTCTCAGAGTAGGATGCAATCCTATGTTCTATGGTAATTACTGCTCGTCTGGATGGGTACTATCACCCCTCTTAATTTGTAAAAACAACTTGGAATCACCCTGTGTATAAGATTACGGGAATAGCGATATATATATATATATTAAATGTATATATTCATAATATAAAGTAAATATTTAAACTTGGATGCAAATTTATGCATAAATTCATACAACAAAATAAATTATTTTATTAAATAACATTTAAACCATAACCATAAGGCACTGACAGTCAACACTCATAGGTTATTAAAAATTATCATAGCCAATTTCAAATGATGCAGTAAACATTAAGCATGTATATTAACATGCATAAATATTTTTCATTGAGTTTATACTTACATTCATCATAAAAACCATAAATGCGGTTAATACTTGCACATTCATGGTTGCCTCGAAGAAGGAAAAAGTTTTCAGGATACTTTATTTTATATGCTAAAAGCAGGCATATAGTTTCCAAAGACTGCTTTCCTCGATCAACATAATCACCCAGGAACAAATAATTGCTTTCAGGTGGGAAGCCTCCATATTCAAAGAGACGAAGTAAATCATAATATTGCCCATGGATATCACCTAAAAATATTTAATTATCTACTTGCATAAGATGTTTTTTACAAAGCATAACAAATTACAAATGCTAAAGCAAATAATGATATTAAAAGCTAATAAAAAGAAGTCTAAAAATTTTTTTATCTGCAACATAATTTTAAAAGGAAAAGAAAAAGAAGTCGCTAATTCAAATTTAGAGTAAAATGAAAATATCCACATTTATCAGATTTCTTTAAACTTCTCAAAGCAGCCGGAAAATTCCGTATAGAAGGCATAGCCGGAAAATTCCGTATAGAAGGCTACCTTCTATATTCATTATACATGAAAATTTGTGCTAGCTTTTAATGTATCTGATTTCGGTTTGGATGCATATTGGAAGAAAAGGAATCAAGGTACAAAATGAGAGAGTCATTTTTTAATTAAAATCAAAAAAATACACCACTTATTCATGACATTCTGAGGAACTTTGAAATTTCAGGGCTAAACTCGGTAACGCTTGGAGGGTTAAAAGCTAATTATTTTGGTAATCACATATTTTCATACAGTTTCTGTAGAGATTTTATCTTCCATATAAAATAAATATGATGAAAAAGTTGCAATTATCCCATTTAAAAATTAAAATTTTTATTTGTTTCTTTACATACCTTTACGATCCCCTACAAAATAAAAAATATAATTTTCAGCAATTGTTTGTCTCATCAAATGCACCTGCAACTTTGAGAGCAGTTGGTGTAAACTTTCTGTCAGGTTGCACATTTTCGTCTCTTCAGCAAATAATTCAATACCTTCACAAAAATATGCATGCCAGACAAACTGCCCATAAATGACAATTTCCCTATCAATGTTAAATAAGATAACTGGCATCAGCTCCATGTTATTCATTTAGCACCCCAGCTGCTTCTCCATGAATTATCTTAACAGCTTGCCTAGTTATTCCGAGTTAACTCTTGATTCATGGTTAATGACAGACTCCATCAGGTTTATGGACAGAACGTTTTCATTTATTCTGAATAAGTTCGCATTGTGTTTTGTGGCTATGCTGGTGACTTTCATGATGCTTTGTTATAAAAATACTTGAATTTTTTCCCACATCTCTTTCAAATCAGCATCTGGGTACTTAACTATCTACATCTGGGGATATTTTTATCTCTATCAAGTGGTAAATTTGTTCTTTTAGAACTTTGACATGCAACTTTTGCCCAGTTTGCAACTGCCTTAATGTGTAGTGTCATGCTTCAAATTCTCTCACACTGTTCCTAATTTGAAATGCACTTTTCATATTTTAATTCTTTCTAATAATTTTGCATTTTCTAATTCACTTTACGGTTATTAAAATTCAAAATTATTTTTTGTGTTTATTCTTAACAAAAATACATTAATTAGTTAATTTGAGATAATTTACCATTTGAGAACAGTTTATTTATCTAGAACAGGAATATTTGATTCTAAAGGATATTGTCATACTATAGAAGATATAGCAAGACGAATTTATGCAATTCTGATAAACTTTTGCTCAATAATGTTATGATGGGTACTATAGTTATCAATGGAACATCTAAACAAGGAAGCTAAGCAAAGATAGGGGGAGGATTACGATGACAAGTATTCCAGTAAGAGAAATATGTTGCAGCATCTAGACTAAGTATTCTTTTAAACATGAGATAATTTTAAAATTACATTAAAGAGAGAAATGAAGACAAAATGTTCATGTTTAAATTGTCAACCTATCTGAATTCACCAAGTTTAACAATATTAAAGTGATGATGTATACTTACCACATATTTTCAGAGGAGCCTCCAGTTCTAGCAAAATTGGTTGGCTTAAAAATATTTCTCGGGACTTTAAGCATAATGCTCGGATTTCAGCCTCACTGAGTTGAACATTTTTGCCGGGGCGAGAACCTCTTACTGTTAAAGAAATAAATTTAAAGTTTTAAAACATTTTTCAATACAATATCAGTTTATACTATAACAATGATCAGCATTTATAGGAAAATTAACATATCATTGATTAGTATTTGAATACTAAAAACATATACAAATATGAACAAAACTGATACATATGCAAAAGCACAATAAGGATGGGAAGTGAAAATAATTTAAAAAAGAAAATTTGGTACTTTCTGCACTGCCGAAAAAAAAAAAAAAAAAAAGGGAAGGATTTCTTAAAAAAGGTAGTGTACTATTATTGACGTTCCTTCTCAAATTTATTGATAGACTTCTCTTTTAAGGAATTAGTGCACTGTCATTTTGAAAATGACTCCTGGCTTTGGCATTGTAATGAGTAGATGCAAGGGTTTTTATTTTATTAAGATTCTATTCTAGGCTGGCTATATGCAAATAATTTATAAAATATTGTTCTCATCAAATATACACTCAAGAGCCAAAATATCATGACCAGCCCTACATTTTGCGATGAACGCGCCCGGATGACGTGGAAGTGGTATTTAACTGCTGATGGAGAGTCTGAAGAATCATTCTTTCACTTACTTATGTGTGTCTGAAGAATCATTCTTTCACTTACTTCTGTGTGTGATGGGAAAGGCTGCAGATCTAAGAGACTCTGATAGAGGGCAGATTGTAATGGCTCGAAGGCTCAGAGGAAGTATTTCCGAAACTGCACGACTCGTGGGTTGTTCACGATCTACAGTTGTTAGTACATATGAAAAGTGGATGAATGACGGTGAAACCAGCAGTCGACGACATGGTGTTGGACGACCACACGATATCAAAGAAAAAGGTTGTCGGAGACTCTCTCTCGCATGGTGAAGCAAAACCGGAGCCAGACAGTGGCTCAACTGACAGCTGAATACAGTGCAGGGACAAGTAGAAAAGTATCGTAGCATACTGTTCAGCGGACACTGTTGGATATGGGGCTATGCAGCAAACGTCCCACTCGTGTGCCTTTGCTGACCAAGCGTCATCGCCCGGATCTGCGCTGGGCCCGGGAACATCATGACTGGTCCATGGATCAGTGAGAGAGAGTTGCCTGGTCAGATGAATCACGGTTTGTCATTCATCACGCTGATGGCCATGTCAGGATACGCCGTCTTCCAGGCGAATAGTTGTTCCCTCAATGCACAGTACCAATACACAGGCCGGTGGTGGCAGTATTATGCTTTGGGGAACATTCTCTTGGGCGTCTCTGGGACCCGTGGTTGTTGTAGAGCAGACCATGAATGCTACAGGGTATCTGAACATCATTTCGACCAGATGCACCGTACATGGCCTCTGTTTTTCCAGCTGGAAATGGAATGTTCCAATAGGACAACGCCCCATGTCACAAGGCTACAATTGTGTTGGAGTGGTTCCAGGAACATGATGCTGATTTCCAGTTAATGTCCTGGCCGAGTAACTCACTGGATCTCAATCCGATAAAACACATTTGGAATGTCATGGGACGGCAGCTCAGAGGTCAAAGACCACCAATTCGCAATATCTCAGATTTGCGTGACCGTTGCTACAACATCTGGTACAATCTGTCTCCGGCCATCTATCATGGACTTGTGGCATCCATGCCAAGGCGGGTTGAAGCTGTGTTGCGCGCTAAAGGTGGCCCAACTCGTTATTGACAAGTGGTCATAATGTTTTGGCTCTTGAGTGTATATATACAAAACACACACACACACACACAAAAAAAAAAAAAAAAAAAAAAAAAAAAAAAAAAAAAAATTGATGCATGAAATCAATTAAAGTTCCATTTAGAATTTATACTTTGCTTAAAGTTCTCATGGGAGGATTTCTTAATATGCAATGTGAAAGTTCTGATGTGCGGCAAACAGCTTTGTTATTTCTCCTGGCTGGTGATGGCCGTTTCGAGTAGATTGCTCTCAAGTTAGGTAGGTAGCGGCAAATCTGGCTACCAACCACTGAATCTCTTCGCATAGAAATATGAATGCTCTTAGCAGAATTGGCAAAATTGGCACAGAGAAGGTTTCTCTGTTGCAACTGCACTCCTGTTTTTGTTCAAGTTGCCCTGGACGTGTCGGGATGATTTTCCAAGGTTCTAACTTTTCTGTAATTTTTAAGAGCATCTCTTGATTGGCAAGAGCACCTTGATTGAAAGTTGGATATACTGATGACAGGCCTGGGAAATGTCCGCGAGAATTTTTCGGTTCCGACTCGGACTCAAACCGGATGGTCAGAGACAATGCATAACAAAACACCTATAAATGGATGTAAGTGAACGAAACATTGTTTTTCCTTTGGACAACTATGAAAGGAAACAAAGGCCTGAGAATGGAACGTGACTGCAGGTTACTTTCATCTTTCTCGAGATTTTTCCAAGCGTTTGATACGAAAAATTCTTTCTCTGAAAACTTTTGAGATGGTCATCAGGAAATAGCTGGAGACAATACAACACATTAGCTTGATGAAAAATTACCCGGCAATAAGTTCAAGACTTTTCCATGAGGGTGCAGATAACAGGAAAGCGGCAAAAATTAAATTCTGCACACATCTTTTGACAACAAAATAATAAAATGTAATACAAATGACACAAGTTTATACTACAATAAGAATAAAAATATACTTATAGTAGAATTGCTAAAAAGGAATGCTCTTAAAAACAACTGATTTTAGTTTCAGCATCATATAAACATGTTCCATTACATAATCACAATTTACAAATAAATGTACTTATTAACTGAATTTAATTTCGGACAAAAAATAAACAGTCATCTTAATGCATTACAGAGGTGCAAGACATGAAGTTTTGGTACTATTCGGTTTTGAGGGCCATAAAAAATCGCCAAACTATTGTTGATGCCAATGCTACCAAAAATAATTACGGCAACCCTAACGCAAGAAAGGAAGTATAATAGTAAATAACTAAGATTGATGTTTTAATTTAGATGAAAAGTTACTTTCATATAGTACTTTTTTATAAATTATAATTTATATAAAAAGGCTAAACATGACTGAATGGAAGGATAAGAAAATAACTGTTTCAGATTATTTTAATTTAGATAAAAGGTTAATTTCACATCATACAATTTTTTATTATTATTTATATAAAAAAAGGCTAAAATAAGTGAATGGAAACATAATAGTAAATACCTATTTCAGATTTTTATTTTAATTTAGATGAAACGTTAATTTCATATATTACAATTTTGTATTACTTTATGAAAAAAGGCTAAATATACTTGCAATTAAACAGGTGGCATAAAATCTTTTATGTCTTCCAACATAGCTGAAAAAATTTCAGTTGGCTGATCTTTGGATTATGGTAACAGGTAGTTTGGCGACATTTTGGAGGCGATAAAGGTTACCTAGGACTTTGGGAATAATGTGAGAAGTACTCAGTTCCAATTACGTATTATTTTGTGTGAGGGAAATGAGAGATCATGAGATATGTCATGTGACATTAATGGACGAATCACTGTTCTTTAATCGGAAAAGGGGGTAAATTTGTAAAAATATCTGCTGTACAGCATTAGTTTCATTCTATGTTCTGTGAAACAGTGTTGTTTAATATTTGGATCCCATGGCTCTATATAAAGTAATCCGAAAATTTTTATTGTGTTTATGTGTAATTGAAAGATTTGCTAATTGCGGATAAGTATGAATGTCCAACATGTGGGTATGAAATGAGATTGTGTGAAAGGAAGGATATTACAGATAAGTTTGAATGGCAGTGCAAGAAATCTGGTGAAAATGGACATTTTGTGATCCGCCATGCACTCAAGATTCTGTAGATTAGGTAAGTTAGTATTTTTAATTATTTGAGGATATTATTTTTATGCATTGTTCTAAATGTAAGGAGTAAATAAATTAATATGGTATTATTGGAAAATTGTTATTAGCAATGATTTAGTTTAAAGTAATTAGGATTTTAAGATAATTTTATTAATTTTAATGTATGTGCTTATTTATATTTTAAGTAGTGTTTTTTAATTTAATTATATTTTAATTTAATGATCGTGATTTTGAGAGTTATATGTTTGTAGTATTTTGGAATACGTTTGAGTAGAAGTAAATGTGCATGGAAAGAATGTAAATATTTGGAACCATTTTTAATGTTTGCGTTAGAAATTGGTAGGTGAGGTTTATAATAGATAATTTAGAGGGAAAAGATTTGGATATTTTATTTATTTTATACGTGCAAATGTTCATCCTTGGAAAAGGTATATACTTTTTAGCGATCAGGTAATTTCATATACACTGGTGTGCAAAAATTAAGGACGAGACGGTTTTTTTCAATATAACTTTGTACAAAAGCTTTCCAAATCAACACATTTAATACCGTAAGATCCCCAATACGTAAGGACATGAGTAATGTAAGCAACACTTACTAAAAGAGAAATCAGAGGGATAAAAAGAAGCTTTATTGAAAAAGTAGCATGGAGCGCAATGCGATTGAAGGCCAAAACATCCCTGCGATGGGTGTCCAGCAAGAAACATCCGGTCTTTAATAGGGGATATGATCTCCCCTGACTGCTAGGCAGGTTTCACAGCGTCTGCCCATGCTGAGAATGAGGGTGTCAATGAGTTGTTGAGGCATTGTTGCCCATTCGTCTTGCAGCGCCAATCGAAGCTCCGGAATCGTTACTGGTGGTAAGGTACGAGCTGCCAAGCGTCTGCCTAGAAAATCCCATACATGCTCGATGGGGTTGAAATCCGGAGATCGGGCCGACCAATCCATACGTTCAATATTCTCACTCTCTACTACTATCACAGCTACTGTGCGATGACATGGTGCATTGTCGTCCATGAAAAGGAACTGCGGACCCATAGCGCCTTTAAAAAGACGCACATATGGAAGAAGAATCTCGTTACAATAACATGTCCCGTTGACTGAACCTGCGTCGAAGATGTGAAGGTCTGTACGACTACCAAGCCTGATGCCTCCCCAAACGAGAACACCGCCACCTCCATACCTGTCCCTTTCAATGATGTTCGAGGGA